GGGGGGGCGCAACTAGTATGCCCACCCCTTATAATAATAATGTGTGTATAATAATGTGTTTGAGAGGGGATTTCATTATTCCTGTGATCTTTTAGCTCTCACAGATGTGTTATGACTGGAACATCTAAGATGTGGGGTTTAACGACCGGGACCCGTTGACACGGGACTAAACCCATGTCTGAAGCTCAGAGGGTTGTTCTGGGACTCCTGAATGTGTATATAATAATGTGTTCATTTAAATGTTTAAAAGGCTACTTAGTTTGGGCAGAAGTGACAAGATGTCAGATCCTTGAGAATGAGGCGGTTTGCTTTTGGGTGTCTGGAAACGAGATCTTAATGTTGACACTTTAATTTTCACTCCAAGCTGAAAATGTTGTTTTTCAGTTTAATATCCCAGCTTTTGAGGGCCATTCAAAGGTCACTTCATCACAGCAGTTTGAATTACTTTGGCCTTTTTTTTTCTCTTCAAAAGCTGATTAAATTTTATAAGATGTTATTCATTCTTCTGAGCAATCAGAAATGTTACCATTCCTTCCAGACGCTTTCACCAGAACCGCCAAATCTCCTCAGAATGTATCCCTGAGCTGGTGTCTGATTGTTTCAGGGTTTCTGCCACCGCCTCCTAAATGTGTCTGGATGTTCGTTTTATTCTGCAGACTAAGCTGCTAATATTTGTCAGAGAAAAGAACACTTAAAGGAAACTGGACAAAACGCCACATTACCTTTTTCCATTTCCAGAAGCAATTCTGACTTGTTCTGCTGCGAGCGTCATAAAAATCTTCATCTTGTTTTGCATGGCCTGGATGTCAACGGTGTGTTTCTGCAGCAGTCGAATCTTAATTTAAACTCTTACCTTCTTGGATGAGAGCAGGTCGCGACCTTCATTCTCCAGTGTCTTAAGAGAGAATTGGTTGACCCCTCTCATGTACTGATGGTGACCTTTCTTAGACCTCCAAGTCTCTCGGGAATACTGATGGAAAGGGAGTCTCCTCCAATTCTGGAGAGAAATTCAGTTCAAACAGAGCTGGAAGCTGCATCCATTTGTCTGCTTTACATTAATATGCAGTTAATATTCCTCCGTCCTAATTACACCGAATACACCATGCTGTGATGCAGCTCGTCAAAATAAGAGCCTCAAGTGTTGCCCAGGGTACTAGATCGTTGATCAGTGTTCACCTGTTTCCCATCCTGTATATATTTGCATGGTTATAAATGTCCAGAGTTCAAATTTTAAATTGTCTGCAGATAAGTTTGCATCAGCTGGTGGAGTTGAGCTGGTTGGTGTCGAACCAAACATGGAGAGATGATGTGGAAACTCGATGGAACAGCGAAAAGCTGCTGCAGAAGCTCAGCTGTCTGGGAGAGTCGGTGCATGGGAAATTATATTGTTTGGAGAAACATCTTCAGATGCTGCCCCAGAGAGATTAGGGGGTCATAATTAAAAATGGTAAAGGTGTATTAGAAGAGGCACATCTTTTAATAAACACAAATAATCCCCGAGGTAAATACTGTAAACAACCCAAAAGGGACAAATACAGAAGAGGATGTCAAGATGAACTAAATGTGGAGCATCGCTCCACCAAAACCAGCTAACCAAACAAAAAGGGATATTCTAAACTGAAACACTAAGTTATTTTTTACTTAGCGGCTTTTAAAGAGTGCCCCTTCCAGTCTGCCATCAGGAGAATTAGATTCTGATCCAGGATGGTGGAGGGGAAGAGCCCCTTTCTTGGCACGCTGCTGTCCAAGGTCCTGCATCAGAAGGTAGCTGGAGGTGTCTGGAGCTAGCCCTGGTGCTGAATTCCAGCCGTCGGGACGAACAGGCCGCGGCAGTAAGAAAAAATAGAATGAATAAAATAATTTCTTCGAAGCAATATGAAAAAATAACTGGTAGCTTTTTTAAATGGGTTTTGATTAAATTGCACAGCACTGTAGCAAACCTTCAGCTTTTGCTTTAAAGATGGCCGACGAATTTCTCACTCAGCATATTTAAACAAAAGTGGAACACAAACTGTCCAAATGAAAGGCGAAGCAAATATTTGGCTGAATATTTAGATTAGATTTTTGTTTTTAATGAACTGTTAAATCTGTGCACTGGTTTTCTTAACTTTAGTTTTTGGGTAATAATCTCTGTTGGGGTGTTATTTCAGATGCATCAGTCGAACCGAGACTCACTGCAGGACTGATGAAGCCAAAGGAAACGATGAAGCTCTCCACAAATAGTCATCATTTGAAATGTGGGATGGTGGTTTGAGGAGGGGATTTCATTATTCCTGTGATCTTTTAGCTCTCACAGATGCGTTACGACTGGAACATCTAAGATGTGTGATTTAATGACCGGGACCCGTAGACATGGGACTAAACTAATGTCTGAAGCTCAGAGGGTTGTTCTGGGACTCCTAAAATGAACATCAGAGAAAAATAGGAATAAATTAGGATTTAAATTGAGGTCTAATCATTCCACTGATTCCCAACTTCCCAAGTGGTGCTCGCTGCAGAACCACAAAGGCGGAGCTGCACCAGAAGGTGGAGCTGCACCAGAGTCAGCCCCGCCCATTCCATCAGAGTCAGTCCAATTCCTTCCAGTTGTCAGACTTGATAGCATTCTGGAACCAAAGAGAGTGTTATAGCTAAAAAATGCAAGATTGAGGACGGAGGTGAGAAGTTAACTGAACAGTTTTTGTAAAGGTTCCATATAATTAAAAATCTTACTTTTGGAACTTTTAATCATGTTTTACTGTCATTTCCTCATAAGAAACACGCCAAAGCCATTTTTGGCCTCATTCATGCATTTTCCTCCTATCTCAGCTTCAATTTGGTCTTTTCCCCCGAAGCGGGTCTGGTCTTGGTTCTCAAATCTGGATATTCTGTGAATTTTGGGACAAATTATTTCTGAAATGACTTCTACTGAGACACCGCAAACAAACCATACAACCCATCTCCAAAGACACACTGAGTAGCACAATTGCATAAAACGCCACATGATTTTCATTCGATGTGGTGGTGTAGTGGTTATGGAGTGAGGTTGTCATGCAGTTTTGCGCAGGTTCGCCTCCCAGTAACGGAAGCATTAGGTAGTTTACAATCCAATTTTTTCATTTCTAGCTACACTTGACAGTGCTATGTTTACAACAATTTACTGGTATACCGTTTAACATATGATGACTAATGTGTTTATTTATTTATTTATTTGGTTTTTTTAGCCAGTGTGAGTCCATTTGTGAGCAGAGTTTCAACTAAAATACTGTTTAGGAACGACCAAATTCAAAGAACTTTTAGAGACATAAATATATGAACATAATTTGCTGAAAATAAACATTACAGCTAAAATATAAACAAATTAAATGCTTCAGTTGGATAAATAGATTGTTGCCTATCCCACCAAGAATCGAACCAGCATCAGCTGAGGGGATAGTAACATTTAGACCAAACAACCTTGCCACTGGACTACCAGAACCACTTTAATATTCTGGCATGCTGTTGTATCACACTTTTGTTAGAGCGGCTGTGGGCAGATATTCGCTAGAAGAAACCTTTTCATTTCGAGATATATTCAGGCTTTGCCATGTAGAAAGTTATATTTATCTTGTTTAATTGGAGCATAGAACATTGCATTAACGACTGTAAACTAGTAACAGACGTAATTCATGTGGGTCAGGTTAGTTTGCGCTAAAGTTGAAAAACATAAACGGAAGTCAGTGGGCTAGGCTGAATTTGCGTGAATGGGCGGGACTGACTCTGGTGCAGCTCCACCTTATGGTGCAGCTCCGCCTTTGTGGTTCTGCAGCGAGCACCCTCTCCAACTTCCTCACAATAACACCATGGTGCTTGACTCTTTGGTCATTTAGTCAATCAATCTGATCACTTTTACTGTGGAGGGTAGCTCTGAAGTGCCTTTTTTTCCTCCACCAGACTCAATCCTCATGTAACCCTCTTATCTCTATTAAGGTAGCGCGACTCAGGGTTGCGAATGACCACAGTCACCAATTCTTGTCATGCGTCTGTCTATGTATGTCTGATTTCAGAATTGTGTGTACTGAAACTCTAATTTCCCTCTGGGGTTAATAAATTATCTTTGAATTTGAATTTGAATCGCACTGCTCGTCCTCCCCTGGGATCATCTAGTCTGGAGTTTTGAAAGGGAATCTCTGGCTGATGCTCGGCTTCAGGAGTGGACCAGAGCTTTACGCTAATGGAGAGGCTGAAGGAGTCATGGGAGTTTGGTTGTCAACTCCAACAGTTTTGTGGATTTTAAAGAGGCTTTTAACCTCTTAATTGTTGGGGTCAACTAGGGCCATCTGGTCTTTGTTTAACCAAAACAAGTTCTGGATCCTCCGGGTCTGCTCCTGATCTCCGATCTGGTTTGTGATCTTCATAGTCCTGATCTCAAGATGTAGTCATGGAGAGGACGGGTCTGGTTTGGGAACCTCAGAGACTCTTCTGTGCTTTTGTGGATGACGTGGTTCTGGAGAAACGCACCACAACACACTTCTACCGGCTCAGAACAGGAGTGATGCCTAGTTTTTATGAGGTTCTTTTTTTTCTTCTTCTTTTTTTACAGATTTTTACACTGATTAGAACATTTTAAACTAAACCTGATAACTCCTGATATTTATTTTTTTAGTTTCAGTTCGGATTAACAAATTTTAGAAACCGGACGGTTTAAATGACTGAAAATGTTTTTCTTGCATCATTAAATTTGGTGTAAAGATTGAAAAGGTCAGAACGAGAAGTTTTTTCTGAGACTGAAATGAAACAAAGTAAAATAACGTTCCTGCACCCGAGTTACAAGTGAAAGCAGTTGAACCAACATCAGGAAAACCCTTTTTTACTCTTCTTCCATAAAGATTTTACCGACTCGAGCAAAACCAATTAACCCAAAACTCCACCAGAAGAAGCGAGTGCAGATCGACAAACTGGGGAAAGAGGATTAAAATGTTCATTGTGTGGTTAATTGCTCTTCTTGGCTAAATGTCAATGCTCCTCTCATTTCCCAACAGACGAAATCTGGAATAGCTTTGCTGTTCAATGAGGAGAGCAACAACACCTACGACGTCTGCCTGAGACTGACCCGAGACGCGCTAACCATACAGAAGCTGGATGTGGTTTGCACAAGTGGAAGTGAGTCCCAAGTAAATGTAAGTGCGCTCGAGGCTGGCATTGAAATTCACGCCACATAGCTGCAGATTACTGTCTCGATGTTCACAATATCCCTTTGCCAATAAAAAAACTCCCCCTTTCTAAAGCACAGAACTGTTGTACTGCGGAGACAAGCGACCGGCGGTCTGGGCTTAAGCATCAAAGTAAGCCGATAAGATTTCATTACGGAGGAGCTGCAGCGGGGATGAGAAGGCTGTTTGTTTAGGAGAGCTGAAACTCTACATTGTTCATCTCTCTTCTTTATTCCTGGCTCCTCAGGGAGGTGCTGAGCACAAGGTGCCCGTGGTCATTTCAAAGATCTTTAAAGACCAAGTAGGTAAGGAAACTTTGTCAATCACAGGAGAGAATGGTGAAGTTCAGGTTATATTTGAGTTAGTTGCACTGTTTGGAGTCTGATGTTTACCAGAAAGATCCAGAAACGCCCTGAATCCAGTAAAACTGCATTTGTGGTGAGTCGAGCTCCTTGTTAAATTAGGGAGTAAAAACACCAAACGGCCTTTAACTTTTAAAGTTTAATATTTTCTTTGCATGGGAAGGAGCCTCCCTACTTATCTGACCTGTGTGTTCTCTATAAGGTCCTCTGCTCAAATGGCCGTGTTCGTTGCCAGCACGAGATGTAAGACTAGAGGAGACGGGGCTTTAGCGGTTGCAGCCCCCCGTCTGTGGACCTATTTACAACTCATCTTCATCAGCTGACCTGTTTAAGGCTAGGCTTTCGACATATTTGTATTCCGTTGTTTTCAGCGATTGTTAATGTTGTGTTCATGTTTTTAGCAGACGCTTTTGTCCAAAGTGACTTACGGGTGATAATGAAGCCAGCAGGTTGCCCTCGAGGCTACAGAGGGAAGCGAACAAGGAGTGTGCAGCAGAGTGGGGGACGGGTGCTGGTTTAGAAGATGCTCTCTGAAGAGCTGGGTCTTCAGGAGTGTCTTGAAAATTTACAAGTTCTATTAGTGCTTGGTAGGTCATTCCACATCTGTGGAACGACACATCTGGATTGTCCTGAGCATGGTGTAGCTAGCCGTTTTTGTTATTGGATTTTAATCATGCTATTATTTTATTTGGTTTTAAAGGCGACAGTGGCACAGGAGTTAAATGCTCGCCCCGTAATCGGTAGGTTGCAGGTTCTAGCCCCGCTCAGTCTGTCGCTTGTGTCCTTGGGCAAGACACTTAACCCCCCTTGCCTGCTGGTGGTGGTCGGAGGGACCGGTGGCGCCAGTGCTCGGCAGCCTCGCCTCTGTCAGTGCGCCCCAGGGCAGCTGTGGCTACATCGTAGCTCATCATCACCAGTGTATGAATGTGTGTGTGAATGGGTGAATGACTGATTGTGTTGTAAAGCGCCTTGGGGGGCTCCAGGACTCTAGAAGGTGCTATATCAAATACAGGCCATTTACCATTTGCCATTAGTTTTCAGGGTTTTATTTTCATTTGTTTTCTGCTTATGTTGAGCACTTTGGCTACAGCTATTTGCTGCTGTAAATGTGCTATATGAATAAAATTAACATTAATGTTCCAAAAACGCCTGGATAGTGGGCCGGGCTTTCAGGAACTCTGATGAACAGGATGCCATGGCTTCGTTTCCAGTCAAAGTTGGCCATTTTTTCTTAGTTTTTGGAGGAAAAGATTTGAATTGGCTACATTTCAAGTTGGTCGGCTCATTTAAAGCTGATATTTTTCATTTTGCAAGTACCTGAACACATCATTCCTGAGCACCACCTCAGGCTATAAATTATGATCTGCCAACATCAGAAGGAGCAGGTTAGGCTCCTTCAGCACAGAGAAAACAAGTCAAATGGGCAGCAAAGATAATTAAATCGCTAATTTAATGTGAACTCAAACATTCTGCAGGTTGAAAAGTATTTAATCAGTTTGATAAAAAGCTTCAGAACTTGTAAATGTTCTGAAGTTGGGATGAAGTGAAAACGGCCTCTAATGAGCAGCATTTGGTGCGGTTGGTGGTTTTCCAAACTCTGAGCTCGAGCACAGACGGAGAGTGAAAACTAAATCCTCCCCGTGGTTCACGATTCTTCTCTAGGACGTCTCGCGTCTTTTTGGACACGAGAGATGTCTCTTTGTGTCTCGAGGACATGAAACACTTTCGTCGTTTCTTCCTCTGTTGCTGCAAATGAGGATAAATCCTAATTGGTTCTTATTTCACGCTCCGCTTGTCTAACCTTTTGGACGTTTCTGGACACAGACACTGATTATTTCTATTATCATGTATGAAATGAGCAATTATTTAGTGATGTTTTCATTAACCTCCTGCAGCCGATCAGACGGGGAAGCTGTTCGTCGGAGACGCCGTTCTGCAGGTGGGTTCATGACCTCCTTACCCTGGAACCAGTTTGGGTCAGGGCTCCCTAATCTCGGCTCTTTTATTCTGACGCTGAAATGAATCGTGAGAATACTGTGAAGGTTGAGCAACATGATTTGAATCCGATGATTCCTTCTTCTGCTCCTGCTAACCACTTTAAATTCAATCTACCTCCTCAGAGTTTTCGTTGTTGCTCTGATGTTCTGGATTCAGATCATCTGTTTTGTGTTTTTCATGCATGAAGTTAATTTGAGTTTTTATTGAGCGAGCTGCTTATGTGGAATTTTAAACGGACAGAACATTCCTACTGGACATGGTTCTGCATTAGAATATGAATGGGAGCGCTGCTGCCTCCAGCTTCGGAGTGTCTCCACTTCATATTTATTTGCGGGATATTTGAACCGTCACACTCCAGAAAATTACATCTCTTCATGGGATTCAAGTCGGTGGCGGAAAGGGAGACGGCTCTCAGAGAGGAGGATGAAATTAGGAAATAAAAATGAATATTTTATAGAAGTTGGACACATTCCTGCTGCTTTTGGTCCAAATAGTTTTGGAGAGTCTCTGAGGTGTTCGGAAATATGGCCCCATCCCTGAAAAAAAGTAAATTCACCTTCATGTCGTTGATTTTAACAACCGAGGTTAAAAAAATGGGAATAAAAATGTTTAAAGTTGCACATTTTCCTGTAAGAGTCCCTGTAGCGCTGTTTAAATGATAGCTATGATGCTAATGTGGTTTATTTATCCAAGATGAGTCAAAACCACCAAGATTAGTGTCGGAGACGATTCCCCATAATGCACTGCCCGGACTTTAGTGTTCTCTGCTTGTTTCTCTTTGAGTTATTTTTGATTTGCTTCAGTTTTGTTTCTAATTGTTTGTAAGTTTAGGATGAATCTGATGTTTGGCTGGGATGAGTCCAGGATTCCGGATCCTGGAATGTAGAATTCCTGCATCTGCTAATCCTTGACTAATGTCTCTTCAGGTTAATGGGATTAATGTGGAACACTGCACCCATCAGGAAGTTGTAAGTAGATATTAGGTGCTTCACTTCTTTATTATTAGGTTGAAATCATAAAGTTTCCTGTTTTATTTTTGTTTGTTTTGGTGAAACTGGTAAAAAAAAAAAAAAAAAAAGAGCCTCTTCTCTAGATTGAGGTGTTCCTCTGGACTCCAGCTGCTTTTGTTCAGCTCCCGTTTGTGTCTAGTGTCTGTTATCTGCTGCCGTCCTCCCATCGTCTCCCACACAGCTGCAAACAGCTGTTCTTCTCACCACAGTCACCTCCAGAGTGTCAAAAACATAATGAGCAGTTTCTAATGGCAGCTCGTCTCCGAGGAGAGGAGGAGAGGAGAGGAGAGGACGTCTGGACAGACTCTGCAACTCCTTCCTGTTTTATTCAGAAAACGTTTTTAGACAAATCTAATTTACACGAAGTTCTCACAGAACAGGAGTGATTTCTGGACTCGATCCTGTCAGATAAACCTCGTTTCTGCTCGTTGTGAAGGGCAGGTTCTGGTGAAATGTCTCTCTTTGATCAGACATCCTGACAAACGTGGGTTGTCTGATTTGTGAGGTCAGAGCTGATCTTCTGTCTGTGTGGATCCGTTTGTGCTGCCAGGTTCACCTCCTCCGTACCGCGGGAGACGAGGTCACCATCACCGTTCGCTACCTGAGAGAAGTCCCGTCGTTCCTGAAACTGCCTCTGGGTGAGCGTTGAGCGGTTCACAGCTCACATGAGTGTTCATTTCAGGGAGATAAAATGTCACGCTCGCTCGCTAGGTGGAAAATAGTCCACTTAACTTCTGCAGCTGCAGGAGACTGGGAGGAGATTAAAAGTGACAAATAAAATCATGCAGGTGAGATAAACAGCTTTGAGCAAGAAAATGTTTTTTTTTTTTTACTGATGGAAGGAGCACGACCAGCAGAGTGAAGGGAATCGATTATTATAGCTGAAATAATGATGGAGTGAAAAATTCACTAATGTTGAACTTTGATGTTTATTAAAACCTTTTTAATCATCTTTGGTGTTATTTTAAAGTTTTCTACACGGCTGTCCGAGATAAAAGTTTATTATAACATCTCAACTTTTGCAACTCTTAACACAGAACTGTGTCTTTCTGTAGAGGATCACAGAGCAGGGAGACAGTTTGTCGTCCCGGATCAGATCTATAAACACCAGCTGGTGATGATAAAAGAGCTGAGATTGTTTATTATTAGTGTTTCAAACTGTTTTATAAAAACAGTCACTGAAGGGTTCTGACCCGCCTTGAACCCTTTTTGACACTCCGCTTTAAGGGGGCTGGATTGGGGGGTTAAACCACCAAATAGTTCCCGAGCTGCAGCTCGCCGCTCCCCACAGGGATGGGTCAAACTTTGACTTTAACCACATTACTGGTGATTAAAACATCAAATCGTCTCGTTGCCTTCCTGCCGACGTCTTGATGTAGCAGGATTTTAGCTTTTTTAAGGAACCTGTGACCTCTTTGTAGTTGGATGTTAGGTTTGATGTTTTTGGTTCTGGTCTCGTCTGAATGAATCCATCAGATCGGGCCACTGTTTTTCCATCATGTGGTTTCTGGCTGTTTTTGTGGAGTTGCTAATGCTAATTTTTAGCTTCTGCTTTCTGAGACGCACGTTGAACTCTCAGTCCTGTGGGCGGTCCCAAGAAAAGTGGGCGGGGCCATGAAGAGACTTTTTCTGCCCCAATTGTTTTCCCATCAGTTTCCTTTGTGTGGCTAATGCTAATGCTAATTCATTCAGTCTGCATGTGCAGCTCTGATGGATCGTATTTCAAAAAGAACGAGCATTACGCAGTTTCCATGGTACCTAGAGCTTTCTCCACCCAGGGAGGAAATGGTTTCCAAACACTCAGCTGATGACATCACCGACAATATGAACTCACATCAAAGCCTTCGGATGTTTGATCGTTAGCCGGGAATTAAACCGCCTTCCGTCGGATCTTTCTCTGACTATCCGATGAATCAGCTCTGAACCACAAGAAGAACTTATCTCTTTTTAGTAAATGTGAAGATTCCTCCAGTCAACGTGAGAATTTTTTTGTGTCATTTGTTTATTTTAAAGGGCACACAGATGTGGAGAAATAAACAAACTACAAGGCTACCGCAAGGCCGGAATAACCATATGGGCAACTGGGCAATTGCCCAGGGCCCATGAATATTGTTGCCCAGGGTACAACAAAGTGTTAATCTGGCCCTGGGCTACCGTGAGAATTTGACTCGTTTGATTAAAATCTTCAAACTCAACCTGACTGCTCTGAAATTCTGTTTTCATGTGTGCAGATTGAATCAGGATTAGGAAGGGTGGAGAGTTTTCATTTTTCTGTGGGAATAAATGGAAAATATGTGGGAGAGCTCAGATTAAAGACAGGAAGTCTGTAATGAATCACCGCGGAGCTTTGAGTTGTAATGATCTTCATGTTTCTTGTTAAAAATAAAATTTCTAGATTCATTTCTGAATTTCATCTTTTTCTTCTTCAGGTTCTCCGGGTTTGGGCCACAGCCGAGTTTCCTCTCCGCTCTTCGACAGCGGCTTACATTTAAGCTCAAATGGAAGCAACACGGTGAGAGGCCAGTTTGATGCTGAGAACGGTTTATCGTTCCTAAATGTTGACTCTTGTAGTTGTAGCGTAGTAACATTTGAGCTTTCTCTCTCTCTCTCTCTCGCTCTCGCTCTCGCTCTCTCGCTCTCGCTCTCTCGCTCTCGCTCTCTCTCTCTCGCTCTCTCGCTCTCTCTCTCGCTCTCTCGCTCTCGCTCTCGCTCTCGCTCTCGCTCTCGCTCTCGCTCTCGCTCTCTCTCTCTCTCTCTCTCTCTCTCTCTCTCTCTCTCTCTCTCTCTCTCTCTCTCTCTCTCTCTCTCGTCCACATGGAACATAAAGCAACGTGTGACCTGCGACCCTGTTGCTCGAGGTTCAGGGCTTTTTTGAGGAGATTTTTCTAGTTTTCATGCAAATGGTTACGACTGACCGCAACGAGCTACCTTTGGCTACCAGAGGCACATTAACGAGTCAGCTGTTACTATAGCAACCTTAATGAGTAGCTGCCACTAGCGTTAACAATTTTGACACTTGCACAGATTAATAACCAATTGCTAATAAGCATGTAGCATGAAATCGGTCCCAGATTATAGCTGGACCTCTCTGAAATCAGCTGATGATTATTTCAGTAGATGCCTTGTCACCGTATCAAATTTAATCTTTTCACATAAACAGCCTTTCTGAAACTCAACTCTTTAGTCCTGTTAAACCTCACCTGCACCTTTTTATAAAGGTGTTTTTTCAGTGTGTGTTCAGGAGTAGTGATCAATGAGCGCTCTGATGCTTGTAGCTGTCGTCGGACGTCATCTGGGTGCTGGGTCGTCTCACTTCAAACAGAAAACATTTGGAATGGTTTCACCTGCATGTGAACCTGGAGCAACATCACAGAGAAACACAATGAGCCCCGGATGTGCCAGATTCTCCCTCGTCAGACAGGAAACGACCCAGATTAAAAAACACCAGCAGCCTTTAAACCTAGACCCACCTGAGCTTATTCTGGTTAGGGTTGGGTCTGAGGGCAAATCATCCAGTCATCAGATGGGATTTATGTGAAGTTACCAGTTTGTGTAAAGAAACGAGGCGTTTGTTTCTGGCAGCAGCTCAACTGTTTATTCTTACACAGAAGATCATTTGGAACGAGTCAGCTGATCACCAAAACATCTGGTAGGAGTTTGTTCACGAGTCCGGGTCTGATCCATGTCAGTAGTTGTTCAAGTCTCAAAGAAAAGCTCAGGTCTAAATCTGAAGGTCGATGCCAGTTCAGCATTACCACAGATGCAGGATGACCAGTGATACAAAATAAAACACCGGATGGTTTTATTAAAAGACTGAAATGGTTTTTGTGACTTAAATAAATCTGAACGCTCTCTGGTGAATTATTCTCTCCATCACACTATTTGTTCAGTATTAATGTTTAAGATTTTGCCCGTACTGCAGAGTCTTTTCTGACTTTTACATTTGGTCCTTTTGGTTGACGTGCTTACGTTTACCTGTGAAGTTCCCCACTGAGGGGCAATAAGGGATAGCTGTTTTTATATTTCAGTTGATTTGATTTATTAACCATATCTGTTAAACTTGCATCTCGCCACGGCTGACGGTCTCCGTGATGACGTCTCAAGTACTAATTTAAATAAGTGTGAAACTGAAGATGGTTTAATGAAACCAGCAGCTTGTTTCCATGAACAAACTTTAGTTGTGAAGGTCAGCAGAAGGACCGGCGGTTTTTGTACCTCTAGTATTGCAGACCACTTATCAGCCGCTTCACACAAATCCATTTTGACTTTGACTCATTATCACATACAAACTAATCCATCCTGTCCTTCTTGGACACCTGAGGGACGGTGTTTAAGAGCAGGGCTGTGGGTTCAACGCTGATGTTAAGCTGCTGTAGAGTTGGAGGAAAAACCATCTATCTGAGCTGAAAATGTGGTTAATGAGGCTTTTCTACTTGTTGGAGTGGCGATGATGGGTTCAGACACAAGTGTTGGTTTTCTGCTGATATTCAGTCACATCCTCTCAGATCTGTGAATCTGCAGTAAATTAATCCCATCATTGCAGCTGTAGATTTTTCAGTGATATCCCAAACTTCAGGCACCATGTGTACCTTTTCCGTGTCTTTTCTGCTTTAAAGACATGTTTAACAGTGTGGCTGTGTGTCATTTAGATGGTTTTGTCAGGTTCAAATTCAAAAACGTAGCTTTTGTCTGTACAAAGAGAATCAACCTTCTGCTGCTTTTGTCTAAGAAATGTAATTTCAGAGCCTAAACGCAGAAAGCATCAGACCTCTAGAGAGTTTTGGGTCATGAGTTTCCTCAGAACCTCCAAATAGGGACGATTGTTGGAGGATATTGCTGTTTTAGTCTGGGATCAGACCTAATCTCACTTTCAGGTTTCATATGAAGCCTAAAGATGGAGACCAGTAATGCCGTCCCAAAAAGCTACGCTAACAGCATGCCGAGTGTTTTATCCAAAGTCTTATAGGGTGGTCAGTAATGAGAGGGCACATTAAGCTAGTGGTGGGCTGTGGTTGCCGTGGTAACTGACGGATTAAGACCATGTTTGCGCATTGTGTTTACTGACTCAGTCACATTAAGTTACATATTCAAAGCTGTAAACACCACTGATAATCAGAGAACCCAGCAACTGGCATTAGTGTTAGCTGCTCTTTTAGTTTTAAACTCTGTAGCAGCCAACCAGCAGCCGCTAACCACCAGCAACTAACAACCAGCAGCAACTAACAACCAGCAACAACCAACAACCAACAGCAACTAACAACCAGCAGCCGCTAACCACCAGCAATTAACAACCAGCAACAACCAACAACCAACAGCAACTAACAACCATCAGCCGCTAACCACCAGCAACTAACAACCAGCAGCAACCAGCAGCCGCTAACCACCAGCAACTAACAACCAGCAGCAACCAGCAGCCGCTAACCACCAGCAACTAACAACCAGCAGCAACTAACAACCAGCAGCAACCAGCAGCCGCTAACCACCAGCAACTAACAACCAGCAGCAACCAGCAGCCGCTAACCACCAGCAACTAACAACCAGCAGCAACCAACAACCAGCAGCAACCAACAACCAGCAGCAACCAACAACCAGCAGCAACCAACAACCAGCAGCAACCAACAACCAGCAGCAACCAACAACCAGCAGCAACCAACAACCAGCAGCAACCAGCAGCCGCTAACCACCAGCAACTAACAACCAGCAGCAACCAACAACCAGCAGCAACTAACATCCAACAGCAACTAACATCCAACAGCAACCAACAACCAACAGCAACTAACATCCAACAGCAACCAACAACCAGCAGCAACCAACAACCAGCAGCAACCAACAACCAGCAGCAACCAGCAACCAACAACCAACAGCAACCAACAACTAGCAGCAGCTAACCAGTAATCAGCATTACTGCATTGACACCTGCAGAGTGACCATAGCCTAAGTAACCTCTCCTGTCTGGGATCACCTTTTTCTTTCACAAAATCGTTTGCAGCCCGATCAGTAAAATAAGACCAAACCTAAATTTCTGTTTCCCTGTTAAAGATGCAGCTGTCAGAATCAACCAGTCACCGCCTACCCAGGGTTAAATGGAGTTTCTGCCTCTCCAGTTGGTTTTCAGAGCCTCCAGAATGTGAAACGGACCCAACGTAGAACCATCTGGGCAACGACTGTTTCTCACCTGGGAAGCTGCTGTATCTCTGAAGCAGAGGCTTACCTTTGGCAGGTGTAATCCCCTCTGACAGCCCGATAGTGCTCTTGTTTCCTGCCACACCACCCACTTCCTGAAGGCCTCCACTCCAGACTTCGCCTCACCAGTTTGTTGTCCGCTGACATAATGGGGGCGAGGGATTTAAATTTCCTTTTGAAATGTGCTTGGTAGGTTTTTGTGGAGCTGACGCGGGTCGTCGTGCAGCCCAGAAATGCCAGCTGGTTTTATTATTCTCTTGTGAACACACACCTGAACATCAGATTATTTAGAACAGCTCAGTGCTGACAGGTCTTATTTTTATTCAGTCACATTCGCCGTAACTCATCCTCTGTTGTGACGGATCTGCTCATTAGGAGCAGGTGTCATTTGCATTCAGATGTGGGAAAACATTTAATTAGAAAACTTTTGTCTGCATGTTTTGCTCCAGGCGCTGTGAACAGATGCTTTTAATGTTGATTAATTGAAGCTTAAATCTTCGTCTTCGTCTTCGTCTTCCTCCGCTTATCCGGGTCCGGGTCGCGGGGGCAGCATCCCAACTAGGGAGCTCCAGGCCGTCCTCTCCCCGGCCTTGTCCACCAGCTCCTCCGGCAGGACCCCAAGGCGTTCCCGGACCAGATTGGAGATGTAACCTCTCCAACGTGTCCTGGGTCGACCCGGGGGCCTTCTGCCGGCAGGACATGCCCAAAACACTTCCCCGGGGAGGCGTCCAGGAGGCATCCTGACCAGATGCCCAAACCACCTCAACTGGCTCCTTTCGATCCGGAGGAGCAGCGGTTCTACTCAGAGTCCCTCCCGAATGTCCGAGCTCCTCACCCTATCTCTAAGGCTGAGCCCGGCCACCCTACGGAGGAAACTCATTTCGGCCGCTTGTATCCGCGATCTCGTTCTTTCGGTCATTACCCAAAGCTCATGACCATAGGTGAGGATTGGGACGTAGATCGACCGGTAAATCGAGAGCCTGGCTTTCTGGCTCAGCTCCCTCTTCCCCACGACAGATCGGCTCAGCGTCCGCATCACTGCAGACGCCGAACCAATCCGCCTGTCGATCTCCCGATCCCTCCTACCCTCACTCGTGAACAAGACCCCGAGATACTTAAACTCCTCCACTTGAGGTAGGACCTCTCCCCCGACCCGGAGGTGGCAAGCCACCCTTTTCCGGTCGAGAACCATGGTCTCAGATTTGGAGGTGCTGATCCTCATCCCAGCCGCTTCACATTCGGCCGCGAACCTACCCAGCAAGAGCTGAAGGTCAGAGCTGGATGAAGCTAGGAGGACCACATCATCCGCAAAAAGCAGAGACGAGATTC